AGGAACCAAAGAAACGTGTATTGCCAGCGCTGAAGACAGTGTCCGCTATCCCACGTACTTACTTAAATCCGGAAAAATCGTACGTCTTGGTCGGCGGTCTCGGTGGATTCGGTTTAGAATTAGCCAATTGGATGATCGCCCGCGGCGCCAAATTTATCATTCTCGTATCGCGCTCAGGTATTCGCACCGGTTACCAGGCATTGTGTGTGCGTCGCTGGCGCGAGAGCGGCGTAAAAGTCGTAATCTCTACGTCGGATGCTACGACGTTATCGGGTGCCGAGCACTTAATCCAAGAATGTAACCGGCTGGGTCCAGTAGGAGGTATATTCAATCTGGCAGCTGTACTACGCGATGCGCTGATCGAAAATCTGGAGGAGGCCGATTTTAAAACGGTCATTTTGCCGAAAGTCGATGTAACAAGGAATTTAGATAGGGTATCAAGGAAGCTCTGTCCATCGTTAGATTACTTTGTGGTGTTCTCGTCCATATCGTGCGGTCGCGGTAATATAGGTCAAACCAACTACGGTTTCGCGAACTCGACCATGGAGAGACTGATGGAAGAGAGGCAGGCAAATGGTTTACCCGGTCTCGCCATCCAGTGGGGTGCCATCGGAGATGTTGGTTTAATCATAGGTAATACATGAAATTTCTAACAAGACCCAAACTTTTCCAACTGTCCTTTTCTGCAGTATTAAAAATTCAGTCGACTGGATCGTTAATTTTGTGCCCTTCTAAGTCAATATTACTAAAGTATCATTAATGATACATGTGCACATTTTGTATAAGTTGTTCTAAATTTATTGTACTACTTTGTAATACTTTGTACATTTCATAATAGCATTTTCTTTTATGATATTAATATTTCTTTAGAAATGATGGGAGGCAGCGACACAAAGGTGGGCGGTACTTTACCACAACACATATCGAGTTGTCTCGCGACGATGGATATATTCCTTCAACAACCGCATCCAGTGCTAGCTTCCTCGGTGTTAGCCGAAAAGCATAAATCCGACGAGGGCAACAAAACTGATTTAATCGCAGCTGTTGCCAATATTCTAGGCGTTAAAGATGTTAATTCGATTAATCCCAACGATAATTTGGCCGACTTGGGTATGGACTCGCTGATGGGTACAGAAATCAAACAGACTCTCGAAAGGAACTATGACATCCAGCTGTCGGCCCAAGATATTCGTGTCTTAACTTTTGCCAAACTGCAAGAATTATCTTCGACAGGTGGTGAGATAAGAAAAGAGCAGCAACCTCTTTCTGTGGATGCGTCCACTACTGTAGACACAAATGTATCGCCCGACATGTTACTGATGCAGTGGCCTAGCAACGAGGTACTGCCTAAAGAGGTGCTCCTTCGCTTGAAAACAAAGAATTCCAACGGACCACCGTTGTTCATCGTCCATGGTATCGAAGGTCTCGTTAAATCGCTAGAATATGTGGCCAGTGAACTCGAGAGGCCGTTATGGGGTCTGCAGAGTATTGAGCAGGCGCCTCATGAAACGCTGTCGGAGTTGGCAGAATTCTATGTCAATACCATTAAAAAAATTCAGAAAAAAGGACCATACCATTTGGCAGGATACTCGTTTGGAACTTGCGTTGCCATCGAAATGACTCTGCAATTGGAATCTGCTGGAGAAAAGGTTGTTCTGAGTCTAATCGATGGTTCACTGGCATTCACGCATCAGCAGAGTAAGATGATCGGTAAACTGAATAACTTGGAAGATGGTATTGTTTCCGACGGCTGTATGAAAGCACTGGCATTTTTCAGCACACAATTTAACAAGAAAATTAGTATCGTTCATGTAAGTATTACAGGCTCATGCGTTCTATCTATTTTTTGTACCCAGGTGTAAAGAGATAAGGAAAAGCACAATAAACGAGAAATATCAAAGCATATACTGTCCCTTATGAAGGTACAAACGAAAATGAAATTATTATATCATAACGACCAGGTGTTTATTACTTACATAACTAATGTTTTCTTATCTCTTTGGAATTTGGTAATTAATTATATCAAAGTAATTATTTTACATCTAGCACATTCTTAAAGTCTTAATTAGTTGTTAACAACTTAAGATAATATTAAAAATCATTTATTAAATCAGACAATCACAGCAACAATTATTTGAGAGGTATGCTGTATAAATTTTGATACCTATATTACAATCTGCAATGTTTTATTTCAGGCGTTAACTGTTTTAAAGCAGAGTAAATCAGATGAAGAGATGTTTGACAAGATGGTAGAACTGATAGGCGACACACCATTTACACAGGATGATTTAAAGATAGCTGGATATCTTTTATTCAAAAAATTAGCAGCTGCTGCTATCTATAATCCGACCAAAAAGATCAAAGGACCGGTCACATTGATTAAAGCTACAGAGAACTTTCTGCATTTGGAAAAGGATTACAGTTTATCAGATGTAAGAGGTTTATCTTCTTTGTTTTCTTTGTTTTATTAAACTTCTTCAATAGTCCTAATGTTTTCTCACTTGTAATTTGTAATACTTTAATGCTTTAATGTAATTTTAATCAAGTATGTTTAGTGTAGTATTTTATAAGATAATAGCTTCATCCAAAAATGAGAAATTGATAAATTTAAAAATGTTATATAGAATATGATTCATGTATGATATAATATCGCACGTGTATATGCGCATCTAAGAATAAAAATCAATCGAATAGATTTGATTAAAGAATCGAATTATATTGTCAGGATACATGAACTTTGTTTCAAACAAATTAATGCTATTTTAATTCCATTCTACTTGTACGGTGTATTATACTTGTATAGATTTTATTAGTTTATGTTCAAAAATATGTATACTTTATCTTTTATTATTTTTCAGATTTGCACACAACCCGTAAGAATAGAAGAAGTGCCTGGTAATCATAGGACGATATTGCTGGGAGAAAGTGCAAAGAAACTTGCAGATCTCTTGCGAGTGTAGCTCGCGGAATAACATGCGTGTTTCAAGTTTTATTGTATTGAGAAAGATTACCCAGCATGTAATCATTTTCAACTATAGCATTGCATTGCTAATAGAATTTAAAGTTTTTCTTAATATAGAGAAGATGTAGGAAACATTGTTCATATGTGTGCAAGCGCGCGCGTGCACATGTATACTGTTCCTGCATATTTTCTATATTATTTTAGATATACATAGATATATACATAAACATACATATATATGTATATAATGCTGCAATGTAACTAAAAATTGTCTGGTATAGATTGACGTGATAGTTAATTTGCACGGTTATTTTCGTATATATTTCTTGATATACTTCAATATTGTAAATCGAAATTGTGTTTGTAAGCAGTTAAATCATACAAGATGAAAAACCCTAAGATATAACTATAACATAATTTATTGGGATGGTATATAATTATACGCTACCATTTATTCGAATAAAATACAAATTTTTTATCATTTTTAAGTTTAAGAACTTGTTTTAGGATTATGTGTAAAAATGTTTGTTGCCATTTTAAAAGTTTGCTAATTAAATATCCATTATTTAATTTCTATAATTAACGGTCGCATTCTTTGTCACTATCAATTCTCAATTAAACTATTATTATGCGTGTACGACTATTATATTAGTAGTCGCTTTGTTAATAATTCGAACGCATAAAACTGTTAAACCAACGATACACGATACTATTTTTCCTGCTGGATTGCTTGCGAGAACTAATAAGGACGCAGAGTTTTGGATCAGGTGACTTAAGGCTAAATCCTGATTGGCTCTCGAAAGCAATCCAGCAGGAAAAATAGTATCGCGTGCCGTTGGCGTTACACGTCGTCTATCACGAGACTGGTGTGTCGCCGGTCGCGCCAAGTATAAAAGAACGCGAGTTGGCAGGCCCTCAGATCTCAACAACGGCTGATCCGACGAACTTCTAAGTGCGCTCAATCGATAGCTTGGGTTCGACTTGCATAATAAAAGAGTGTTTTTATTTTTCTCCTACGTGTCCCATGGAGATATAGCAATGCAAAGTCCGAATTGTCAGATTTCGATCATTTAAGAAACGTCTTTGTCGTCGTCGTCGTCGTAAGAATTTAACCAATCACAAGTGAGAGTGAGGGCAATAAATATCTGTGATTGGGGGGGGGGGAATTAGGGGTCAGCGAAAACTGTCTTAACGCTTTCACGTTCCGTAAGAGAGTTCTTTTCTCTCAACGCTGATCGAACGCGTGCCCTGACTGCCGTCGCACGTGCGCACAGTCAAGTAGCTGCGCCTTAGCGCTGTCGGGCGACTCGTCTCACACTGATAGCGCGGTTGCTTTAAATCTCGGTTTTTCGGCTGGCGCTATCCATTTCAGATCTTACAGAGCTATCATTCTGCGCACGTGTCTCTATTTCGAGTGGCGTTATATTGTGTAAACTAGCAACGTAGGGTTAACTGTTAGTGTGAGTGAGTGTGTCGAGCTGTGGCTGGTTTTCGATGAATTTTTCAAGAAGAAAAGTCACGCCTAAAGATAAAAACGCGATTGAATGCCTACGATCTTGTATGTTCAGTAACTGAACTGCAAAGGTAAGAGGAGAGACTAAAAGAACGTAGTTTGATGTTAATAACAGTTTACGATCAGAATTTTCCGCTTCTCAAAACAGATCTTTTATCGAAGAAAAACTACACAATTGAATCCACACTACGGATTTCGAGTAACCAAAGAATGTGGTAATATTTTTCGCAATAAATTTAAAATATGAAATATTTAGACATTAATACCTTGTCACGGCTCTTAGTCCTTTCTCCTTCAACTTTATGTTTATTACATTTAAGCTATACAAATTTTATTAGAAATAAAACGTGTTCTTATTAGAGCTTTTGTTTGGATACGTGTTTTAAGATTCACGTGTACACGATGAGGGCTCATATGCGGCTCAGAATGCAGACATATTATGAAATCACGGAAAACTTGCAAAGTACCCAAGGAGCGCCAATGCACGTATAATGCGCTCTAAATGTGCATTAAAATTCGCATTAAATGCGAATTGTACATGCACATTTAAAGCGCATATTTGTCCCGCATTAAATGTACATTTAATGTACATTAATTAATGCGCATTAAATGTATAATTAATGCGTATTAATCGTGGCAGTGCATTTAAAAAACTACACCTACGTTCATCGAGGAGCCCAATTGAATAACCAGTTCTGTACTG